CCAGCAATGGGGCAATGAAATTTTGCTCCCATTTTCTTTGTAAAATTAAGCTTTATGGGTCCTAATGACGTGTGTTTACAATAATTATATGAAATTTTAAAATTCAGTTACACACTATAGAGTTTTCAAGTTAAGTTTGCATTTTCTAAGTAGCCAAGCTCTTTGTCATTGTTTATTAATATAGAAACAGGTGTGCATGTGAGGGGTACAATGTGGTGTAATCTTTTAATGTCAATTAAACAAGTCACCTAAATCCAAACCAAACCCCTGAGGGCTGCTCTAACTTGCATCGGTAGGGGCCATTGCAGATATACAGAATCCCCAGGGTATGGTTGGCTTTAAAAACATCCAGTTCCCAGCACTGTCTGGCCACTTCCTCTTCCAACCCACTCTCAGTATACCCCTGGAATGCCCCATGACCTGGGACTGCTGTGGAGGCAGGAGCGGGGCTTTCTGGTTTGCATTTGCAAAGCGCTTTGTGTTCCTTGTATAAAGCTTCTATAGAAGTTAAACTATTTCATTATTATTTTATTATTGTTGCCATTCTGGAGATGGTATCTTCTGAAGAAAATGAATCCGACTTTTTCTTCTCTTCATTCAGCCATGAGGAGGGAGGGGGTAAATTAGAACTCCTAAAAGGAACAGTGGGTAGAATATTCTCTTAAAACTCAGACTGCCCTGACAAACAAGGACATCTGGCTACCTTATGCATAAGCCAAACATAAGCAAGCACCTTTGCCCTGTTTGAAAGGCTGCAGATGTGAAATAAAAACTTAAGTGATCCTTCACATTTTTAGTCTTTCTCCTCTTTGTCCCTGCGGTCCCGTTGACTCCAAATTCCAGAACAACTCAGCTGATGCAATGGCGCACATTCTGCCATTAGTCATACAGAGCCAGAAAACATTTTGATGTCAACGAGAGGTGCGTGTGTGTGTGCGCGTGCGCACCTTTAGGGCAGAATTTGGCCCACTGTGGTTTCCTGAGTGCCCTATATTATTGTGTGTTCATCCGACACTATTAAAGGGCCTCTGTCTGTCTTTGAAAGTACAGCCTTACCACCCGGATTTCAGAAGCACTAGCTTGAGGTTTCATAGCATGGAACTTGGGAATAGGAAGAAAAGATTAACATGTTCACCATGTGGTTCTTGTAGAATAACTGTGTTCACACATGTTGGGGGGAGGATTTGCCAGTTTAGTAGGCTTTTATACAGTCCACATGACACCGTAAACTATGTACCCACATGAGACGCCTCCATGACATGAAGAATTATACAGCTCACTGACTCATATTATACAGTGTGAAAGGAAGACAACAACTCAAACAAAGCTTCACATGAACCAAGAGAAAAATGCTCAGTTACAGGTACTGTTATCTGTAGACTTTATGCCATTTCTGGCTTGAGCGTGAGGTTGGTATTTTAATGAGTCCTGCTTTGCAATCTGTCAAAATATGCTGTAGTGCCTGTGTACCGTATATAATTATCTCCTCTGGTTTAGCTTCACGGGCCAGGCTTTGGAAGAAGTTCAAATACATAGTTTTGTTTAATTAAAGAGTTTTAATTAGCTTATTGGCATAGTCATTCACTTATCACGTAACTGGTTTCTAGGATACTTTAAATGCACATTTCCTGCAAATGAAAGTGTGGATACCAGCACATTGAGGCAGATCTTGTCTTTCCTCTCTCTATGAAAACTTTAAAAAAAAGAAAATGTATATATTTGCTTGTATTTATCATCCTTTTCCTGGTCTCTAACTACAGATCAAAATGTTCAGATTGACCACAGCCTTTAGAAGACAACATTAGCTCAAGAGAGAGAGATGGTTTCCTTTATGGAATAATAAGGCGTGATGAGAAGCCCATCTTATATTGTAAAAAGCAACAGAGGGTCCTGTGGCACCTTTGAGACTAACAGAAGTACTGGGAGCATAAGCTTTCGTGGGTAAGAACCTCACTTCTGCAGATGCAATCAGAAGAATTGAGGTTCTTACCCACGAAAGCTTATGCTCCCAGTACTTCTGTTAGCCTCAAAGGTGCCACAGGACCCTCTGTTGCTTTTTACAGATTCAGACTAACACGGCTACCCCTCTGATACTTGCCATCTTATATTGGCACTCAGAGGACTATGCTATCAGTGAGAGAAAACTGGTTATGGCATCTGATTAATAAACCCATAGATTTAAGGTAAGAAAGAGGGTACTGCCAATTTAAGGCCATATTCTGCTACTTCTACTCAGCTTGGTTTAAGAGAGATTGCACAGGACGTAAGGTTGAGCAGAATTTGGTTCATTGTCTATTTCAAGGTATTTATACCTTTTTAAATTGTGGTTCTAATCTGGGAAGATTAGGGAATGTGGCCCCATTTTTCTCTTCCTCAGAAGCCTCTCATTTTTATTAATCAGAATCCTTAGAAATGCTATTGCAATTGTCAACATGAACAGTCACATGCCTCCAATTTCTTCCATAAATAGTAGTCAATAAACAAAACAAATAGCATAAATCTTTCATTAATTGTAAACCCCACTTAGCATCCAGCTAAATTTTCAGTTGTTTAAGGTCAGATTCTTAACATTCTTAATAGCAGCCATAATTTGTGGTAGTGAGTGTGCTCCCAGAATCATGATCAGGCACATTTCAAATATTTAATTACTGTTATGTGGTTGCTATCAATTACTTAGATATGTAAATTACATCAGATGCCCTTGCACATAACTGTAGGTGCAAAATTACTCCCTCAGTTACTTGAGCCTGCAAAATATCGCAGGAGCCAAAAAAGAAAGCAAGGTTATAGCCTGTTCAAAATGAGGCATTTTTATTGGAGCTGCTTGAAAAACCAGGTGGTAGTGGTGGGCGAAATTGTAAATATTCTCCCACTGTTTTCTGTTCCAACTTGTAATTCTGATGAAATTTTAATTGACACTTTAAAATTCTGAAAATGTTGTCCAGTTCTAATTGGAGTATATAATTGTCTTGCCACTTATTTTGTCCAGATCTTTTGAAATTTTTCCTTCTAATTCTTTCTGCTCTAGGAATAAAGTTCATCCCCATGCAGAGGACCTTCACAAATCATACATGTAATCTGCTAGTCAATGTATGTTATGTGTTCGCCTCTGTGCTTGATCCACAGAGAATATGGGTCAGGTACAGCTCTCAGTTTAACAGCCTGGATCTTTAGCTCAAAGTGTAGAGACTTGTACTCTCAGCTGTGGAGGCCCCCCTGGTGTTGGCTAAAATGGCGGCCATCACGTGTACATCACTTTAAAAACTCATTCAAGCTCTATGTTTTATTCTATTCCATTATTTCAAAGCCAGAATTAAAGACAATAATCTTTAGACTATATTATCAGATTTGACAAGGGCAAGCAAAATTGTACCCAGAAAACACATATATTTTTAAATGTTCAATTGAAGAGTATAGTACAAGAGAGGTTTTTTGCTGATGAACACCCTGATCCTTTTCCCATTGAAATGAAGAACAAAACTCTCACGGACTTCAGTGATGCAGAATCAAGCCCCGAGTGCATACCTAAGCCCTGATCCAAAGCCCATTGAAGTCAAAAGAGTCTCCTATAGACTTCAGTGGTCTTGAATCAGGCTCTGGTGCACTCACTGATACAGACAACATCAGTTTGTCATCCCATTCAGGCCTGTATCTAATTAACATGAATTTCCTCTCCTGTTTGTGCACTCATTTGCACTATGTAAACAACTTCAAATAACTGCTTTACCCTTTATTCAAACAAACAATAGCCTTAGAAATCAAGAAGAAAATTAATAGCAGGTGAAAGATTAGGATTAATGATGCTGAGACAACATGGCTATTTAATTTGAAGTATGGGAATTTTTCCTCTAATCTCCTTTAATTCCTCATAGATATTAATTATAGTTTGTCACTAGAACTCAGATATATTTGTTTCTCTGCAAGGGTTTAGGAACTAACCCTTTGCCTATGTATGAGTTAGTAGGAAAAGGCCTTTCTCACTTTTTATCATATGTACTGAAAGAATGTGAGAGAACATATGAGCTCACTGAGATTTATATAGGCAGCTTTGGCAGCTTTTTCATATTTACTTGGACTGTGAGAGATAAATTGAGTCTGGTTCTCTAACTCTAAGAATAAGTTATGTTATCAGAATACGTATGTGTTGTGGATCAGACATGGATAAGGTGTTTCTATGATAGCTAAATTGGAGTATAGGTTACATTGTTTTGTACTGTTTTTGATTTTGGATTACTTCATTTGTTTCTTTGTGTTTTATGTATATTGTCACAGTTAGCTGTGGATTTTTGTAGCTCGCTTATTAACACTAGCATTTTAATACAAAATAAATGCAAAAAAAAGACAAAAGAAAAAGAAATGTCTTCTAAATAAATTCACATAAAATATATCCTTCAGAGCTCATCCAAAAGGCTGATCCTCTCTAAATATTTAAATTTCTCTTGTAGACCCTCTTCTGCCATTCTTGTCTATTAGGCATAGCAAATGCTAACTAAAAACAGTCCTGCCATAATAAATGTACCATTCTAATCCTCACCCTTTAAAGAAACAGATGGACTTTTTGAACATCCTCTGAAGTTTAGAAAATTTGGTCTCTGTGAGACCAGTGGGGCAAGTGAGTTCCAGAGCCAAGTATCTTCGGCTGAGAATACTTTACCACTCTAGTTCAAATCTAGGGATTGTTAACCAGAGCTCATCAGCTTTTTCTAACTGCCATGGTACACAGGACATAGGCTCTAGCTATGCGATGACACCTTGAGTTACACAGAGTTTTAAAGAGTAACATACAACTCACAATTTAATTTCTAATCAATAGAAATTTCAGTGAAGTATGTTCTAATCCCTAAATCATTAAATAACCTGTCTCTGTGTAATACAGAGTGAGGAAAGTTCAGGTCATAATCTGAAAACAAATTTGGAAATGGCTTGGTACGTACCGTAAAATAGTCTTAAGATTCCCTATATCGGGGTATGGGACTCTTATCTCTTTCTTACATTCTTACCTTCTACCAAAAGAAGTGGAGTAGTGCCGACCATAAATATTGCAGCATAGATAAGCTTTTCCAAACAGATCCTTCAGGTTAAAAATATACTACAGATGCAGCTGGGGTGCAAAGCTGCCCAGAATCCAGGCGTTATGGAAAGGAATCAGTCTCCCCACTTGTTTACTTAGCCTTGGAAACACAGTTCAACAACCTGACAGCGAGAGAGACAGACTGAGACCTAAAAACGAGCATTCGCAGCAGGGGAGCTGCCTGTTTCCTCCTTCCTCTTCTCTTTCTCTCTGCCCTATACATGATGCCCTACATGCAACATCAGAAACATGATGAAAATTGGGTTTGTTTTTTTCTTTTCCGGTGGCAGCTCATTTTGGGGAAATGTTTTATTTACTGCTTTGTACTAGCATAAAGGTTGTTAAAGCCTTTCAGAAGAGAGGCTTCTTTCTGTGTTAAGTGGGCCAGTAAATTAAAAAACATAACAATCTGTTATATGCCACTTATAATAGCAAAACGTTTTTTGGTGTGCCCTTGATATGAAAGCCAAGCAAATACCCCATTTAAGTTTTTTAATCTTTTCACTTGCCCTCTTTTTCTTTCTGTCCCTCCTTGCCTCCAGAACTCCCTCCCTCCTTTCTCTGTCTCTCTTTCTCTCTCCCCCTTTTTGTTCCTGGAACATTCTGTTTCTTTTACGAGCTAACAAGTTTGATGTGGCCCTGTGTCTCCTTCCCTTCCAGGCTTGCAGCTGTTTTGGCAACAGAAGAAAAAAATCCCCATAACAAATCAAATAAAAGCCCATTCTGTGAAGAGGAATTGAAAACAGCAGGCCTCAAAGAGGACTGCACATGAGATGCCTTGTTCTGGCTTTCAACACAACTCAAATCAGAAACACATTACCATAATCTGAAACAGCCCACTGCTAACACAAGACAGATGGTGGGTAATAACCCATGCATCATTAATAAATAAATTCCAGCATTAAAGGCTTTACAAAGTATGACAACATTATCCGGGCAAAATTACTGCCTCTCTCCCACCCCCAACATTATTTCACTGTGTTGTGGGTCTTATTTTTTTAAGGGTCTGTGCTTTTGAAGGAAGTTAAATACAGCACAAGTTTGAAACAGATCAAACCTAGCTCAGTGTACAAGACAGGTCTGAAACTCCAGAAGGAAAAAATAAAATCGCTGCCAAAGTGCAATAGCTCCCATGTACTTTGACTGGATAAGCAAATGACAACTTACTGTATTGCACTCCACTGGCTGACGTTGCCCTCTCTGGTATTCCACTGTTCTTATATTTCACTACACTTTTCAAGCAAGAATTTTGGCATCACGTTTGCCACAAAGCAGAAAGATATATGCATCTTTTCGCAGCTATCCTATTGCATACTATACCAGCTGTCTCTTTTATCCCTCCCCTTTCCCTTCATCAGAGGCAATTGTGGCTAATAAAAGCCTTAACTTTAACAAGTGGTGGGGAATATATGAAAAATGGACCCTCCACAATCTGCTTGTGGTTGACCACTCTGGATCTAGTAATTTTTTTGTGAGAGAGGAAAGAGGGGATAGGGGTTGGATAACATATTATCAAACGTACAGCCACAAAATTTGGAAACAGACTGGCATCCCAAATCAATATGTTTCCAAAGCTTGAGGTGTTCAGTTCAGAATTCTGATTTGGGATCATTACAGAAACAGGCCTGTGTCACAATGTGTGGATATGTATCAGAACTTTACCAAAGTTCTGGAGTGGCAAATGGATGGAGAGCTTATATCCACCATTCCAAACAATCTGTACTATAAGAGGTGGCTGGAATAGAATTGCAGCTTTCTCACGAGACTGAGAGATAGATATAGCTCAGAGTTAAGCAGGGTGGAAGGAAAGAATCTTATACAAAACCCTGGGTGCTGCAGTAACTGGTACTGATGGTTTAGTAATAGCATGCTTTCTTCTCAGTCAGTACTGAACCAATGCCCCAGAATGATGTTTGGGTACCCATTGTTTCTGGATGTTATTTGATATGTTGGAAACAAGGTGTAAATCCAAGATCTGGCTCAGTTGTTGTCATTAAAGATACTGTGTCAGTTTTGCAAGAGTAGGAATGCTACATGTGGTTCTTTGCCTTAGTTCTATTCTGGGTAATTGCATTATGCCTACAGTTTCATCTGAATGAAAAATTCAACTGATTTTTTTTTATTCCCTAAGCTAAACTGTTGCATAGTGTTGTGTGTTGTTAAATTTTGGTTGCAGTTTTAATGGTGAGAGTTTAATGCCCCCCCCCCATGCTAAAATATAGCTAACTAGATAAATACACTTTGTAAAAGATGTTGGTTTCTTCTGGATGAAATGTTCTGTATGAATGGATGTCCCAGTTACTCAGAGCACTTGCACATCCTTTCTCAAGAGATTTGCAGGTAGTAGGGCCTCAATGGCCCAAACCATTGCTTTCCATCTGTGTTTAGCTAGATGGTTGTAAACATCTGTTTCAGATGAGGACATCACCATCCATGCCCATGGCCTTCGTGACCTACCATCTTGATTATTAGAATGTGCACCTCATGGGGCTGCTCTGAAAGATGGCTAGAGAATTTACCTTGAACAGCACGTGGCTGCATGCTTACTTAGTGGGGTCAGTCTTAAGGAGCATAGTGCCTGTTCCCAAAGTCTGCACTGGCATCTTCAGTATTTCCAGTGGCAATTCAAATTGTTAATTTTTATCTAAAAAGCACCATGTTAGCTGGGCATGGCTATCTGAGAAACCACCTTGCTCCCTATGCACCCTAATGATTGGTGAGATCAGTTAGAGACCTTCTGCTAAACAGTCCCTTTATCTGAACGTCTGGGGAATTATGGTAGGGAATCCTTAGTGGAGGGTTGACTATGGGGGGTTGAATCACCCTCACTGCATTGGCAGCTAAATCCAAGAAAGAAACAAAGCCAAAGATATTTTGTGATATTAAAGAGAAAAAATTGGATAGATTGGGTCAATAGCCTCCATCCAGATCTTTTGATTGACATGAAATTATAAAAAACCTTCCAAATAAACCTTGTGCCAATCAGATAGTGTTTAAAAATGGAAGCTTGGCAACTCTGTTGTATTAATTTCTTTCAACAAATGTCAGGCTGGTGTTACCTGAAAAGAACTGATTCCAAAACTCTGTAAAAAAACCTGCGTCTCCCCAAATCTACCTAATAAGCAAATATTTTACAATATTTATTGAGTAGACTCCAATTGCCTTATGTATCATAATTGCTGCTAATAAATAAATGATAGTTTTACGGCTGCTGTTGGGAGCTACATTCTAAATGTGTTGCTCTTGTTGCTGATATGTTAAAACAGGGAGAGAAAGGTTTTTTGTTTTAATTGCACCACAGCTTATATTTAATTGCCTGAAAATTTAGGATAAAAATCCATTGATAAAATCCTCAGTAACTCTACATTTTAGATTTTTGAGTGTTTATTGCAAGAGAGTAACTATCTGTAGAAGAGTTTCACCCTATCAGTTCTTCTTGCAGCTAGCACAGAATTCTTCTGCAGGAATTCTCCCTTTAGTTATTTTTACAACAATAAAATTGTTGCTTTCATGTTTCAACAACTCTGCTACATTATTCATAGGAAAATCCAATGGTGATATCATGACGGCCGAGAAAATTCCCAAAAGGCAATGCTATAAAGCCCTGATCCAGCAAAACACTTAAGCATGTGCTTAACTTTAACATTTAATGTTGACCTCAATGGGACAACTCATATTCTTAGAATTAAGCATGCATTTAAGAACTTTATTGGATCAGGGCTGGACGGAGCAGAGAGGATTACAGACACTGCTTTATGTGATCATCACTAACACTGGGCAAATAATTTATCGGATAACTTTAGACTAAATTCTCTTTCCTGATTTTGCATCTCTGTGAAAATCAGAAAGGACCAGTTCAATAACCCTTATTCAGATAATACTTACTCACACAAGAAGTTCCACTAAAATAATGGCTTGCAGATTTAGGCCCATTGAGTTTCTGAAGTATTAGTATTAACCATTTCTTTTACAATAGCACCCAAAGTTTCCAGTCAAGATTTGGGTTCCATTGTCCTGGGGCCAGTACAAACAGAGATAGAGATAATCCATGTGCCAGAGGGCTTATCATCTTTTCCCCAATGATAGGGGAAATAAAGGAAATTTCAAAAAAATCAACGTCCTTATTCTTCATATTGGTTTCTCTTCCTGCCTATGAGACCTGGCTCTATAAAATAAGGTCCACTGTTGTGATTAAGGTCCTCTAAGAGATTCATTTCCAGTGCTACAATCTACTGCTGGCAGTGCTTCTTCCAATAATGTAACATCTTGATATTCCCTGCTTAATCTAATGTGTCCAGTTTTGGCAGCTGCATACCTACAGCCAAGGCAGTCAGTCTCTACAATAAAGTAGACCTTTAGAGATTTCATGAAACACCTTGACCTCACAGACATAAATGATAAAGTATGGGTGTGACCAGTGGAAATCTGTAAATATTAATTTAACCAAAAGGGGAGTTGGGAGAGAAAAAAGGTTTGTTCCCTTGTGTAGGGAGCCAGGGTGGCTGCCCTCCGAACTTGAGGGTAAAGGGCCGCTCTCTCAGCCTGAGTGGGCGGGGCCAGGCCAAGCTCGCTCCACCCCCCAGAAGGGGAGGGGTGGAACAGGAAGTATAAAGAGCGGGGCCCTTTGCTCAGTCAGGGCAGCACCAGGGAGGGAGACAGACGCAGACCGTGGGCTGCTCCCTTCAGACCCTGCTGCCACGCCAGGTGAGGCCCTGGACCAGTGGGAACCTCACCTGGAGGAAGGACTGGGGCTGCCCGGACTGCCCGCTGCCGAGTACCCAGAGGGACTGGAGGAGCCGGAGGGGGAGCGGGAGCTGCCAGCAGCCGAGGACCGGGAGGAGCTGGAGGAGCCTGAGCCCGAGGGGGAGCTGGAGCTGCCAACAGCGGACTACCCCGACGCACTGGTGGGACCAGAGGGATTCGGACGAGCAATCGGGTAGGAAGTAGCCCAGGGACAGAGCTGCACAGTGGTGAGTCTATGTAGCGGGATGACCCCGCTGAGCCAGTGGCGGGACCCTTGTTCTGCCACTGTCAGGGCCCTGGGCTGGAACGCAGTGGTGTAGGGCGGGCCTGCGTTCCCCTACCCGGCCGATCCACGCCGGGACCTTTGCCGACACTCCCCTGCCTGAGGGGCACGCTACCAACTCTGGCTGGCATCCTTCCTGCCGCTAATTCCCCAGTGGCAGAGGCGTGACCCAGGCCGGCCAGTGACG